TATGCAACTTTTACAAGAAATCCGCAGAAATATTAATAAACAAGAAAAACACAAGTATCTACTGAGTGTTGCAGTTGCTGCACCGACTTTTCTAGTAGATACATCTTATGATGTTGCTCGAATGAATGAGTAAGTAACAAAACCAAATTAAACTTTTAAGAACTTTAATACAGAGATATACAGAATGTATCACATTCTTTACAATAGTGGTCTCATAAAAATTTGTTGAATACGTTTTAGATATGTTGATTACGTAAATTTGATGTCTTATGATTACCATTTTTACACCAAATCTACTCCATTTACTGGTATAAATGCCCCATTATACGCATCCCCTAATCAAATAGGATATTTTGCCACTTTGAATATTAACTACTCTGCATATTACTGGCATTTCAATGGAATGGAAAAAAATAAAATAATTATCGGATTACCCACATATGGTCATAGTTACACGTAAGTATTTTCTAAAATACTTTTCAGATAATTCCAATCACCCCTCATACAGTAGTTTAGCAATTGTTTCATTTAATTTTACGCAACTGCAAAGTACATCACCAAAATTTTAATCATTGGACAATGTTTTTTTTCTACTTTTTTTATTATCTAATGAGATTGTCCTATTTAAATTACATTTCATGTTTGTTCATTTTAGTTTGATGAATAATCAGAACACAGTAATAGGCGCGCCCGCGATAGGATATGGGCGTCTTGGAATCCTTGGGTTTGTGGATTATAAGCAAATGTGCACATTTGTCACAGAAAATAAAATAAAACCTTTTTTTGATATGGACAGCAAAAGCCCCTATGCTGTTAAATATTCGGAATGGGTATCTTATGATGATACAGTGAGTTTAACGTTTAAGGTAATTAGTACCTTTTTTTATTTCAAGTTTAAAAGTTTGTTTTTTTTGCTATTACAAATAAATTTTAAAATAAGAAATATATCCCATCTACCCTCCCTTACCTAAAAACAAAATTTTCATCCCCTCCACCCATTTGCCCTCCTCCTCCTCCGTCAGTTGCCTGTTTTTTTTTATGTAAAATAAGTTGTTGAAAACTTCTTTTTAGACTGAGTTTATAAAAAATAATGATTTTGGTGGAGCAATGATATTTTCCTTAAATATGGATGACCATGTGGGTGTTTGCAAAAAAGATCTTCCAAAGGGCACTCCCAAAAGGTTTCCTCTTACCAAGAATAAACTTTCTTAAC